TTCTTTTGCTGTCATTCCATCCTCCTCTTCCTCCGCTTGTCTTCCTTTTATCAGTTCCGCTAAAGACTGGGCGCTCCCCGTCTCCCACGCATACGATCGGGGCACTCTCCAAACGCCCATGGCATCTTGAGAGACCGTGACTCCCTCTTCTCCGAGCCTCATGGCTTGCTCTTCGGCGCCAGTTCCTCCATCGCCGCGCGGTGAGATAGTGTACGAAGCATTTATAACGCGTTGCCACGGCACGCTTGTGTTCAAGGGCAGTCGTCGCAAGGCCTGACCGACGTGCCGTGCATGTTTGGGGCAATGACACAAACGTGCGATGTGTCCTTCATGGTGATTAAGAGCGTGTGTACGAGAGGATCGTTAAAAGGTGAATGAGGTGCTTGAAATTTGTTCAATTTCTTTCGCCAACGAGTCTCACCGTAGGTAGTCACCTTCCCCCGCGGCACATATGTGACGCATGTATGGACAAGTCGATCAAAAAGTGCCCGATCAAACTTGCTTTCAGCGAATTCTTCGTGATAGTCGTAGAAAATGGCGTCCTTGTCGCCCATTCCGTGTTGAGAGCTGTTCTTTACTTCGCGTTGTTTAGAACCTCCTGAAAGTTAGTTCACGCGAACTCCTCATCTCTTCATTGCCCACCCATGCATGGCTCAAGCAAAGTGCACGGGCTTAAGCCGGACTTAGAGTACATTGCCTTTCCACCGAGTCAAACTACTAGGCCCCGAATAGATGGCAGGAATATCGTCTATGGTATGGCTTTGTGATGTCACTGCTGCTCCCTCAGGCCATTTCGCGCCATATTAGGTGAAAGACGAGGTTGACCAAACAAAAATCTACTAACGCCCCGAAAGGGACCTCGTTACGATAAATACGAAAGGATGAAAGCGCATGTTAAGAAAGGGTGGTTTCATGGGCTCAACACCGATTGGATCACCAAAATGTTTGGACCCGCACGCCCCCCAGCCGGCGGCGTGGTGGATCATTTTGGTAGGACTTGAAGCAGCACACGCAATGAATCAGTGCCATGACCACCACACGGAGTACGGTGGTTCTATTGACCGCTGGTGCCTCCCTCCTCTCTCATTCATCCTGATATACCTTCTCTATCCTCGCTCTGTTGTCCTGCGTTTTCTCATAGGCTCAGTCAAGATGAAGGTATCATCAATGCACCGCTTCTGTCGTCGCCTCCCCGCTTTGCTCCTCCTCGCAGTGTCGTGCTCTGCGTTCTTATTTCCCATACCCTCAAGAATACCAACATCCTCAGCCCAAGTCTTGCACGCGACCAAGAAATCCAAACAGACTTTCTCTGAGCTGGGGAATACCGTCCCCCCTCCTCCGCCTCCGACGTCAACCCCCCCCCCCTTCGCTACTTCGACTGACGAGACTAGCTTTGAAGAGGAAGAAATGGAAGCAGAGGAAGAAAACACAGCCGTAACAGGGCTCTCGCCCACCATGTATGACAAGCTTCGTAGTGAGGCCACCACCCCCTTCCGGTCCCTTCGCCTGTTCATTTACGGTGGCATCGGCGTCGGTGCCAGCCTGGGGGGCTACACGGCGGTGACGCAGTTGGTCCAATCTTTGCAACATCGCCCGGACGCCTTGCCTCTCTCTCAGTCCATCCTCAACGTCGGGGTGGATTTTGGGGTCGCGGCCGCCGCGGCCGGGGCCTGGGTGTTCGAGAATCGCCTGAAGCAAGTGACGGACAAGGAAATGCAAGCCTTGCGGGCCAAGGAGCCCTTTCGCCTCACTTTCGACATGAAAAAAGCGCGCGAACGGGCCTTGAGCGGTCTGCCCGTCACCTTCAAGGTGGGGCTGAACGAAACTAGGAGTGCGTCGGTGAAGGACCTGAGGGAGAAGGGAGGGCAGCATTTGATCGTTTTGGCTGCCCCCAAAGGAGAGCTGGCTGACGCCCTCTTTGGCGCCCGCGTTGGGAAGACACTGTTTGCCAAAAACAACGTCATGATCGCACCCTTTGTCATCCAGGGCGGAAACGACAAGACGGGGGAGGAAGCCATCGGTGTGAAAGGCTTCGGGGGGATGTCGGACAAAGCCACGGGTATGAAAGAGGCCATGATTGACTCGGAGGCCTACGTGGCAAAACCCGCGGATTCTGCTTCCTGGGCTACCTACATCGATGAAGAGCTCGAGGACGCCGTGCGGCAAGGGAATGAGAAAGCCCGAAACACTGGGATCGGGATTGTGATGCGGAAAGACGGCAGTATCATCCGGAGGGGCGTGGGCCAACCGGATTGGAAGGAGGTGGTTGCTGAGTTGACGGGTGCTAAGGGAACGAGCGAATTTGGTGATGCATACGTGCCTCCCATTGGCGCAGGAGGAGGGAAGGGTGGCAAAAAGAAGAGGAAGAAGGGATAAATGGGTTGCAGAAGTTGAGAATTCGCGTTTTAGTTTTGTAAAAAAAGAAATCATGGCGTATGGTATCGTCGCTCCTGTGTATGGGGTGGGGTGGGGAGGTTGATTGTGCTGTTGACATTACACACACCTTTATCTTGACTTTATATTATGTGACACAACATGCAGCTTATTTTGTCGTCAAAACAGAAGGAAGGTCTGTATGAGACAGGGTGTTGGCGTCAATGTCAGAGTCATTCATTCGCATTCCATTCGTGGGAGCAGTACCGCGGGTCTCGCCTTCCGTTTCATTGCCAATGAACGGCCCACACGGACTTTTTAATCCTGCCCGTCTCAAGCTTCCGCGCCTCCCACGCATGTACATTATGTTTTTTTACGAAATATATATGAATAAATGTGACAAAGATCATAAGTCACCATAACGGGCCCGGAAGGCCCTATCTCTTGTGGCTTATGGGGTCGAGGATACCGTGGCCTCGCAATGCTCTGGACCCTAACCAACTGTTTTCTAAGCTCTCATTCAAAAAATACTAAATGACGAACAAATTTTCATTATAAAAATAGCAATGGCTCGGGATCCGAAGCTCATTTATTACATCAAAAACCTGCTTTTGGAACGGGGGTCGGATAAGTAAGTCCTTCATGGTTGATCTTCCCTATCATATTAAACCTCCCTGTCCTTCCAGAATCATGACCAGCATTTAAACCTTTTTTCACACGTCACCTCACCTTAACTCAATCTTCCGACTTCCAACCTTTGTCCCGATAGCCGTCCTCCCTCGGAAGAAAGTATCATGGAACGACTGGTAGTTGACCACCGTGAGTATGACCGGAAGCCGAAAGCCACCTTGCATAAACAAGTGGCCCGGGCACTGCATTGGTGCTTGGAACGCTCTGAAAAAGATGAAACGCCCGGCAATCAGGCGCTTTGCGGGGAAAACCAAGGAGGAGGTGTCAAGAAGCGAGGTCGAAATAGCGATAGCTGCGAGAGGGGGAGGGGCAGGGGCGCAGAGAGGCCACAACGACAGGGAACGGACTGTGTGAGCTTGTACGGGGGCCTTTATTATCAAGAAGAGGGAAACCCAGGAAAAAGCGCATCGAAAGAAAAGATGAAGGAGGAAGGGGAAGACGAGACCCGTGCCGTCAGAGGAGAAGAGGAGGAGGATTCGGACGCCGCGTATGAGCAGGAGGCGCGCGAACGGGAGAAAGGGTTACAGGGGATGGCCGAGAGTCGAAGCCTGAACCTTTTGAACCATACCTTGAGCCAGGCGTATAGGAAGGCCGCCGTTGCCCCGACAAGGGACACGGGGGAGGAAGTGGGGGCGGGGGCCCCCGGCACTTGGAGAGAGAGCGTCAGCCACATGCGGCGGAGAAACAGCAAGACTCTCAAGGTGGCGGGAAAGAAGGAGGACATTCGTTGCCAAATGGAGAGACAGAATCGAACGGGAAACTCATGCGACGGAAGTCAAAGCGACGTCGTCGCTTCCCCCCGCCTTCCCTCCTCTCCTCCCCCCTCTCTGCCCCCCCGGGGAGGACGCAGCTTTCTCCTCTTCGTCCCCGCCTCCCCTCCTGCCCGTGGAACGTCCCACCGCCCGCTTCACCGACCTGGCTGGCATCGACGCCGTCCTGCAAGATGTGCGGGAGCTGATCGAGTACCCCCTCAAATACCCGGAGGTATACGCGTATCTTGGGGTTGAACCTCCCCGTGGGATCCTTCTGCACGGGCCGCCGGGGTGTGGGAAAACCTTGTTGGCGAACGCCGTGGCAGGGGAGCTGGGCGTGGCGTTTTTGAAGGTGTCGGCGCCCGAGGTGGTGAGTGGGATGTCGGGAGAATCCGAGCAAAAAATCCGGGAGCTCTTCGCGACGGCCCGTCAGGCCGCGCCGGCCCTGGTCTTTATCGACGAAGTGGACGCGATCACCCCCAAGAGGGAGACGGCGTCCCGGGGCATGGAACGTCGGATTGTGGCCCAGCTTTTGACGTGCATGGATGCCCTTTCCCTGGAGGAGACGGGGGGCAAACCCGTCTTGGTCATTGGCGCCACGAACCGCCCGGATGCCCTCGACGCGGCTTTGCGGCGGGCGGGCCGGTTCGACCGGGAGATTTCCCTCGGAGTGCCAGATTTAGAGGCCCGACGGAGGATTTTGGAGGTGATGACTAAGAAAATGCGGCTGAGCGGGGACTTTGATTTGGGAGAAATTGCGCGGAGGACACCGGGATATGTCGGGGCCGATCTAGCCAGCTTGACGAAGGAAGCGGCGGTGCTTGCCATCAACCGGATTTTCCGCAGCATCGTGGCGGACACGGGAGGAGGCAAGACCAAGGGAAAGGAGGGGGAGGTCCGGGAGGGCAGCGACAAGGAAGGATATGACACGATACCTTCGGAGCCCCTGACTCGGCCTTACCCTCCTAATGCCTCGGGCCTTACTACATTGACGGACGCGTATGCTTTACCTGCCATGGACACTGATCCCCTGGAATCGAGCGATCTATCCTCTGCGAAAGTGGTCCCCGTGGCGCTCCCGCTGCCCGCCTCCCCCGCTCCCACGGCTCCGCCGTCCCTCCCTCCCTCCCTCCCGCCCGCCCTCCTTGCCTCCCTCGCCATCACCATGCCGGACTTCTTCTCGGCCCTGAAAAAGGTCCAACCGTCGGCCAAACGCGAAGGCTTCGCCGCCGTCCCCGACGTGAGTTGGCAGGACGTGGGGGCGCTGGCGCCTGTGCGCGAGGAGCTGTCCATGTCCGTCTTGGAGCCCATCGCCCATCCGGAAATCTTCCTCTCCCTGGGATTGACTGTCCCTGCCGGCGTCCTCCTCTTTGGGCCTCCCGGGTGCGGGAAGACGCTGCTGGCGAAGGCCATCGCCCATGAGAGCGGGGCCAATTTTATCTCGGTCAAAGGTCCGGAGCTCTTGGACAAATACGTCGGCGAGTCGGAGCGGGCGGTGCGGCAGGTCTTCACTCGGGCGCGGGCCTCCGCACCTTGCATTGTGTTTTTCGACGAATTGGACGCCTTATGTCCGAAACGAGGGATGGGCGGAGGGGGGGAAGGAGGCGGGGGCAGTGGGGTGAGCGAGCGGGTGGTGAACCAGCTCTTGACGGAGATGGACGGATTGGAAGGGCGTCGGCACGTCTTTGTGATCGCGGCCACGAACAGACCGGAGCTGATCGACCCCGCCATGCTCCGTCCAGGGAGGCTAGACAAGCTCCTGTACGTGCCCCTGCCGGGACCGGAGGACCGGGCGGCGATTCTGAAAGCGGTCTCTCGGGACATGGCGGTGGATGCTGCGGAGGTGGATCTAGAAGCCCTTGGGAGGGATCACAGGGCAGAGGGCTACAGCGGGGCAGACATGGCCGCCTTAGTTCGCGAAGCAGGGGTGAACGTCTTGAGGGAGGTCAGGGAGGGGGGTAAGAAAGGAGGGTGGGAAGAGGGAAAGCCGTTGGTGATCGGGCACCGACATTTTGAGGCAGCGTTCGCGAAAGTGTCTCCCTCCGTGTCCTTGCGCGACCAGAAGAAATACTTGGCCATGCGCCATTCCTTGTGCCGGGCCCGAGGAGTGGTGGCGGGGAAGGAAGAGGGTGGGAAAGGGGCGGGGGAAGGGGGAGGCAGAGAGGGAGGCAGGGAGAGAGATGGAGGGAAGGGGAGGGGGAGGAGAGTGAGTGTGGAATACAGAAAGTCATGGTAAGAATTCATATTTTTTAGAAAAAAATTTGCGTGCGAGAAGTGCGACACATCCATGGGAAAGACTGTTTGCCGCTCTTGGAAGAAAAAGAATGAAACTTGGGAAGAGAACTTTCCCTTTTTGTGTTGTTCGTCCGGGTTTTGGTACTTTTCAACGTAGGGCTTGTTGCACGCCCTGTTGGAGTTTTGCTGCCGCGTTCCGGCTGGGAAGCCTTTTTGTTCACCGCATTTGCATGAATGGTCGGACTTGGGTGGCGAACGCTCTCAGATGGTGGCGGAATGCCAGCTTAGTCTGCCGGTCCCAGGCCGGGCCCCGTCTTCTCCCTCCCTCCCTTCCGTCCCCTCCCTCCATGCGGGGCGGGATGGCCGACATCAGTTTTTGAAATTCTTGACCCAGCCGCTCCTTCACACTGGGAGGCTGCTCCTCCAAAATTCCGGCGAGCAGACAGAGGAAAGCCTCCCGATCGCACAAAATCAAGGCCAAAAGGGCGTTGGAAGCGGCGTCAAGACGGTCCCACACGCTCCCTTCGTACACGACCAGGTGCAAGAGCTTGCGGGTGCACTCCGAAAAAAGGGCAGGATGGGCCGTCACGTGCGCCTCGAGACCCCTCCCTCCGCCGTTCGCATGGCCGGCCGACCTGACGCGAGAGCCCACAGTCTGGGCGTGGAAGGAAGCCAGACCTGCCAGGGCCCGGAGGGAATCGCGGGCAATCTCACTGTCGGGGCGCTGCACCCCAAACATGACGCTTTGCAGGAGCTGCATGAAGAGGGGATGGGGCAAGAAGGCCACGCGCTCCGTGTAGGTGGATACCATGGAGTTGACCAGCGTGAAATACTGCTTTCCCAGGGGGGGATACTCCAAGAGCTCTTCGGACATCAAAGGGATCAGGCGTTCCAACCCAAAGAAGACCACGTCCGCGACCGTGTCTGCTGCCAATTTTCCTTCCTGTTCGGCCGAGAAATCCACAAAATCTTTGCTTGCCACATGGGAGAGCAGTTCCAGCACGCACAAGATGTCACCCACCGCTTCTTCCTTCGAGTTGGCGTCTTTCCGAGTCCGGCCCACGTTGTGGCTGGCATACGCTTTCAACGCCTGTCCCGTCGCCGTCAACAAGCTCATGGTGGCCGGAGCCCCCAGGCTGGAAATCTGCACTTCGGCGTAGTCCCGCAAAAATACCAGCACGGCGTGCAAGGCATCCGGGTACGCACTGCAAAGCGTGGCCACATCCAGCAATGGCTCCAGGGCGTGAGTGATCAAACGCGGCAAATAGGCTTGCCCTGTGTTGTCCACGGCGCGCGCCATGCCCGCGTACAGTCCTGCCACGACCCCCACCTCTCGCACCAGTCCGCTCCGGCCTACCCCACTCTTCCCGTTCGAGCCTTTCAACCCCATGTAAAGGAAGTGCAACCGCGTCTCCACAGGTCCTGCCACCTGTGCGATGCCCTGGCTGGCCTCCGCGTCGTTTTCCCGCGCCAAAATTCCTCCCACCACGACTTCCAAGAGCTCGCCCCGTAAATCCGAAGCCAGCCGGAGATAGCCAAGTTCCGGCGGAATTTGCGGCGATGGCGAAGGGGCATGGCCATGACCCTCCTGTCCATTGCCCACCAATTGCTCCCCGTGCTGCCTCAAAAAGTGTTTCTCCGCCTCCATGTCCCGTAATATCACCTTCCAGGCCTCAGAGCGGACGGCGGCGCGCCCCAACGGTTCCCCCCCCGTGAGCACCACCGCCCGCACCACGGCTATGGCAGCCTTGGCCACCTCCCTTTGCGACGGCCAGCGCGTCAGGAACCCCCAGGCTATCCTGAGACTTTGCTCCACTTGGCCTTCCCCTGCCTCCCCCCCAAAAGCCTGGACTAAGGTGGGAGCGAGGATGCCGTTGCGGTAGAGAGAGGGGTCGGGCAGGAGGTAGGTCCGGGCAAATCTGGCCACAAAGCTGAGGATGGTTTCTGTCAAGTAGGGGGAGAGGAAGGGGTCATCGGGCACCTCTACCGCACGTTGGAGAAGGAAGCCTGCCAGGTGCTGGAGATGGGTGCACGCGTCCACAAGCAGGGCGGCCGCTGTGGAGGGAGGCAGGGAGG